TATAACATATGTTTATGGATACTTTTATAAGTCTATTTAGTCTTGTTCTGATAGAAGATAAAATCAAGTGTTTTATTTCATTTGAATAAGTCAGTTTCAAAGTACAAACGCATCTATATTGTTGAGAAAATCGAATATTTCCTTGTTTTAGTAATAGAAAGAATAAAAATGGTCTTGTTTATTGCAATTTCTGTTATTAAAACTCGGCTGAAAAACAAAATCAACATAAAAATTTACTCTAGTTCACATACATTTCAATAAATTGTGTATCAAATGGAAAATCGATCACAAGCAAAATTTAAAAAAGAAAAATGCTGAGGACGAGTACAAATGCGTTTTCCAAGAAAACATGACTGTGCTAAGTACCTCAAAACCGACTAATTCAAAATGAGATAAGACCTTTGGCTTTATCTTCTATCACATAAAAACAAAATAGGTTTGCAAACGTGTCTATCAGCACAAGACTTCACAAAATTAAAACACCTGTATGTTAAGTTATTTGAGATACTCGGAAAAACCAGCGCTAGAGATCTTTGTTCAGAGGAATTATCAGTAAAATTTTAAAAAACTTGCGTTAGCGACCTGACGAAGTATCAACATATAAATGAAAAGATGCTCTTATAGTCGAATGAGAAGATCAAAACTAATTTCAAATTCGTTTTCAGAATCTCTAGAAAGAGGTCCAATCTTCTTGCAAATTATATCATAGATGATATTCATTGCTTGAAACTATTCATATATTGATAGTAGTTCCTTAGATAATTTATTTTAAATCTAAGATAATAATATTTTTCTTCTTAGTTTTTGATGATGAATTAGAACAAAAATTTATTTTCAAAGAATTTTAAAATAAAATCTATTCGAATTTTATATTTTGTATATATAAAATTTCATTACATACTTATCTATTCGATCGATAAGAATTTTTTCTTGTTTTGTTTCAGTATTAAAAAGTATTAATCGTTTACATTGTGCATGTGCTCGATAAACATCTGATTGAAGATAAACAAATTGATTATCTTTTTTTGGTAAATGTCGTGGAAATAGTCGACATAATTGATCAAATTCTGTTAATTGTATCCATTCATTATTACGCCAATTACATTTAAATAAAGCTGTTGATCGATTTTCACAATAAATTAAACCAAGTCGATAAGGTTCACAACGAAATGCAACTAAAATACATTCATCAGGATTTGTTGTCCATGTACATTGACCAAAATATAAATCTTTTGGTTGATTTTCAATTAATTTAACTTGTTTTATATCAAGATCAAATATACATACAACTGATGTTTCAAATAATTCCATTTGTTCACCCCAATTTTCTCTATATATACTTGCTGGTTCTCCAATATCATCAAGTTTTTCAGCTGTAAAATAAGATTTTAATGGTTTACGTTTTTCTTCAGCTGTAAATATTAATCGACGTGAATCTGGACTCCATTCAAAAAAACTTCCATAATCATTTTTAGGTAAAATTTTTCCATGTGGTGATATTTTATTATCATTAACTTCATAATTAAATATTAAATGTTCATCATGCCAAATTTGTACATAATATAAATCTTGTTCACCTTTAGTTTCTTTTGTTACTAATGCAAGATATTGACCATCAGGTGATGCAAGACGACGAACAAGATTTTTATTAATTGGTGTTACATTACTTGTAAATAAAAGTTGACGATTTTTTAATGAATAAGTAAATGAACGTGTATATGTTAAATCTTCTAATTTAACAAGATCCATTGTTGAAAAATAAGGTGTTATATGAAGAATTTCATCGTTTGAATCTTGACGACAAGATTCAATATCAGATAATGTTGGTTGTCCAGCATAATGACGATATGTTTCAATAGCTGATGTTAAGATTTTATTGTCTGTCGTTGTCATTTTTGATCTGAAAATTAATTTAAACTTATCTAATCAGTTGAAAATGAATATATATAATATATATTTAATTTCATTCTCATAGTTCAGAAAGTATTTCGAAGAATTTATATAATTCCTTGAATACATAACATCTTCTCAGATGCTTAAAAAGCTTTTGAACTAAAATCTTATCTACAAGAAAAAGATATAGGCGCAAGTTGCCATTTGGCTAAAATACCGATATTTTACTATAATTTTCTAGCAGAACCCCACTATCAAAGATTCGAATTTTTGCTCACACCGAGACTTGCCTACAAAAGTAGAGTGATGCTGCTTCCACGTCGGCAACAGCTTATTAAGGAAGAAATTTCACAAAATACATGAATTTGTACAAAATCTCGGTATTCATATAGGTGAAACTGTAAGACTTAGGAAATCTGATGGAGTAGCGGCAGTAGTTCTAGTTCAAACTAATTACGGCTTTGAAAATTGAAAATTTTTTTTTTGAATACCATCGTGATAGCGGTAGATTCTCAGCTGCAATAGACATCTATGGTGTCTATAAATTTCAATTCAAAAGCTTTTTAGCACATAGGAAGATTTTTCCGTAAGTATTTTATCAATCATCTATTTATTTTTAAAGACTAACGCCTTAATTTCCAAAATTTGTTTTCTTTTAGAACATTTCAGCATTTTTAAATTTGTATCAATATAACAACATGATAGAGTACCTTTATTCTTGATTCGAAATTTTTCAAGTTTCGATTTCGATTTGCAGCTTGAAATTTTGTATAATGGTCTAAAACTTTTACAATAAACTATTCTTGATAAGCTCAGTATCTATGGAAAGTTTCAAGTTGAAATTCGAAAATAAACTTTTCTAATGTTCCTAAAGGGAATCACAGTATTGACTAAAAAAAATGTGTCTCAGCAACAAAAAAGTTAAGAACTCGAACTCTTTTCAAAGTATTCATAACTCATTACAGTCGACATGATGCATAAAGTCTTGACTCAAAGTGATTAGTCAATTGTCTCATTTCTTTTAATTGGATTATATTGATTCATCTTTTTTCGTCGATTAATACAAATTTCTACTAAAATCGTTGATTTAAAAAGTTTAAAAGAAGAAATAATTCATCGAAATATATAATAGAATCTATTTTATTTTAGAACTATTGATCAGAACTCTTGTTTTTTACAGGTAATATAATTTTGTTAATGATGGTCATAGTATTACTGTAAAAATTTAAATCAAATAATTTATTTGATTAATGTTCATGTATTGAACAATCGATTCACTAACCGATGATTTATTAAATTTTTATAACTGAATCGATATATTAAATATTGTTTGAAATGAAAATGTTTAATAAATAATTGTCGAGTAGAGAATATTATTTGATGCATCAAAGAAATTTCTGAAAACAGAAGAAAGAGAGAGAGAGAAAAAAAATCATATAGAAAACTATTATCTAAAATTAAACAAAACTTTAATCAATCTTCTATTTGTAATTCTTTTTTGTTTTTTGGAAAAAAAAACTCTTCATTTTTAAATTTTAGCTCGTAATATAATATATTTAAAATTTGGTACAAGACGCCATAATTGTTCATGTTCAGGTAAATTATCTTGTCGTTTTGAATTAGGTGGTAATAAAGTTTTAACTATGTCTACAACATCTTTTGCACAACCCCATGAAACTGTTACACCTGCACCAGAATGACCATAGCAATGTACAACATTAATACCATCAATTGTTTTTTCATGTTCAAGACGTACACCATCATCTCGATAAGGTCTTAAACCAACATCGACTCTTCCAGAATGAATTTGTTCAAGAGCAGGCAAAGCTTTTGCACACATACGAAGAATTTTTCGAGTATCATTTTCATCTACTTTAGTATTCCAATCATTTAATTGAAATGTTCCACCTAAGACAACACGATCTGATTGTGGAACAACATATCCAAAACCTTCGTCAGTATCAAATGAATAAGCTGATTTAATCCATGGTGCATAAACACGAATAACCTAGATAAAATAAAATATAAATATAGTTAATTACAAAGAAAAGTTATTTTAATTAAATTTACTTGTCCACGTGCAGGTCGAACTGTTTGATCACCAACTAAATATCTAGAAGCTAAACCTGTACAATTAATAATAACATCAGCTTTATCTTTTAATTCAATTAATGAATGAATTTTCTTTTTTATAAATTTAACACGATTATCTTGAGAAAGAAAACGTAATAATTGTGGTAAATATTTACTAACTTCAACAACAATTGATGACATAACAAAACCTGATGTTGGTTTTAAATGATCAAATGTTTCAAGTTCATGTTGATCTAATAATCGAAAATGTCGAACTAATTCTGAAAATTTAGGTTTTTCTGTATTATTTATATTATTATCTTTATTTTGACCATTAAAACCATATAATCTATATGATGTAACTTTCATAATACCACCACAAGAAGCTTTTATTGAAAAAAATTCACTAAGAAATATATTATATGTATAACCAGCCCAACGAAGTATTCTTTCATCAATAGTTTTTAATCCATAAGGTTCCCAATATCCAGCTGATATATCACCAGTTGTTTCAGGTGTAAATTTTTCACTAATAATTGTTAATTGAAGATTTTCATTTGTTGCATATTCTTTCAATAAAGTACATGCTGTTGTTAAACCAATAATACCAGCACCAACAATTGTAATACGATATGTATTAGATGAAGACGACATATTATATTTGATAAAGAAAAAAAACAAAATGAAAATAGAAAGTTGACTCTTTTACTTATCAATATACATGATGATAAAGTAAAATGTTTCGTTTATTATTTAGTGTTGTATGTTTTTTGATAAGAGAATAATAAAAAAAGAAACAAGACTAAATTTATAATATTACAATGATACGGATATTTTCATGAAATAAAGAAGTGATCAACATTTTTTCATAGGTATAAAATTATTTGCTCAGATAAAATTACGATATTGTTGTATAATGCATTTATCTTTACAATCGCAAATGCGACCAATTATTGAATTCAATTCAGACAGTCGTTTTTTTTAACTGGTTAAATTTCAATTTTTGTGTCCAACATACAATCGACGACAAAAGTTTAAGAAAATTTGTTTCTTTCATATGAAGACGGTACTAATCCGATTCAAATGATGATATAGAGCATTCAAAACTAAACAAAATGATGTATTTTAAGTTGTAATATCACTCGTTTTTCATGACCACCTTTTTGAAAAAAGTTTTTGGGAAAAACAACTAACTTTTCTTTTTTAATTATTTTGATGGAAAAAGACCGTCGAAAAATATTATAAAAAATAGAGTCACCTCCAATATGGACACGTTTATAGTAAAACTGAATCGAGTTGTAAAAACGGAGAAAATGATCTTCTTCTTAAGTCTTTCTTCGTCTATTACACTGTATGAAATGATAAACATTTCATTTTTTATTCAGAACGTTCGGCAGTTTTCTAACAACAATTCGAAATTTTCTCAGACACAGCATGAAAAGGGAGGGAGAACTAGCTCATTCCACTTTCTTTTGCATCGTATTTTTTGATGGATATTTCCATGTGTAGTCAACCGCAAAAAAAAACATAACGTTCTCAAAAGATTTTTTCTTTTGTAGAGCTAGTTGCACTGATCATCCGAATAAATTTTAATACTTAGGACATACCAAAAATTCTGGCCACGGTGTTTAATGGTTATTTTCGGATAAGCGAACCTATTGAGAAATTCAAAAACTAAATATACCATGTTGTAGAATTTTTTGAGACGCGTCGAATGGTATATAGTAAATATTGTTTTCATCTTAGAGTCAATTTACGGATAGACGACTACATACCCACACAGACAAGATGACTGGAGATGCTACATATAGAAGATTGTAGTCCGTCAAAAACTCTACAAATACTTTTGACTAATATCAAGGATTACAATATTCAGAAACTTATCATGCTTAGATATGGAGCCTTTAAAGTCTTACGAAAACACAATTTACTATATACCATTCGACGTGCCTAAAAAAAAACTCTACAACATCGAATATTTACTTTTTCATTTCTCAATAGGTTCGCTCATCCGAAAAGATCATTCAAACGCTGTGGCCAAAACTTTTGGAATGATTAGTGCAATGAATTTTACACACGAAAAAAATCTTCTGAGAACGTTGCGTTTTTTGTGATTGACTATCCATCAAAAATACGATTCACCCATATTTTATCGTTGGTAGTAGCATGTCTATATCTGTTATACCATATTATAATTGATCGTTTCTTTCATCATAGATGCATACTGATAAATCAAAATTCTTCAGGCATATTGTTGAATCTTTCGTTTACAGTATGCATTGTAATCATTAAAAACAAATCGATTTATTGTCTATCCAATTTGATAATAAGATTCAACATTGAGTATAAATTTTCCAATCTAATTCTATTGCATATCATAAATTCTCTGCATTGTTGCCATCAGAATTGTAATATTTCATTTTGACAATCAATAATGAAAAGGTTCTTTTTTGTGTGTGTGTGTGTGTGTATAACCAAATCAAATTATTATCTACAAAACACATCTCTTGAGTTTTATTTTATAACACAAAATTATAATTAAACATTATACAAATATAAATAGACTATGAATTAACGAGAAACAAGAAGAAGAAGAAGAAAAAAAAAGTATTTATTCAATTAGACCATGATTAGCAAGTGAACGAGTTAGAAATGATGTTGTAGCACCAAGTTTGAATCGTTTAGTACCCAATGTTTCAACAGGTACAACTAGAAAAACAAAACATAGTTATAGAATTTTAAATTTTTAAGCGTTTGGTTAGTGATTGACCAATAGGATAAAAACCCGCTGGATGTTTTGAACATCAATTAAATCATTCAATAGAAAAAATTGTTTTCGTTCGATCTACGCAAGACCGAGCTCAATAGCTTGCCCTGTTCGGCAGCTATAGGCATTTTCTCAAGACCCATGAAATCAGTCACGTGACCCTGAATCAACCTTAAATGCGTCATGCTATAGATAATCGACCATGGTGAGTTCAGTGATGATGTTCGTTTTTTATTTCAAAGTAATCTGAGATCACTATATCGAGATTTTTCCTAAAATGATCTCCGATTACTTTGAAATAAAAAACAAACAGCATTACTGAACTCAGCATGGTCGATTACCTATAGCATGACGCATTTAAGGTTGATTCAGGGTCATGTGACTGATTTCAAGGGTATATAGGAAAATGCCTATAGCTGCCGAAGAGGGCAAGCTATCGAGCTCGGTCTTGGGTAGATCGAACGAAAACAATTTTTTCTATCGAATGATTTAATTGAAGTTCAAAATTCAACAAAAAAAGTGTTTGAAAAGCTGTGTTCAAAACATCCAGCGGGTTTTTATCCTATTGGTCAATCACTAACCAATGAAATTTTTTCATTAATTTACATGCCCCAGTGTTCTCTTTCTAATAGTGAAAACTGCAGCTCGCTAGCTGTTTGCATTCTCGAGTTATTCGACTCACAATCACACGCCTTCTATTTCGAAATGGATATACTGATATAGAATTTCTTACTATGACGTTTTGGTTCTTCTTCTTCTTCTTCTTCATCGTAAGAGAAAAGTCCTGTTGGTCGTCGAATTTCATTATTAACACTTAATGCTTGTACTTTTTGACGTTCTTTTGGTTGATTATCATCATCATCATCATCATCTTCTCGTGTTCGTTTAAGTGGACTAATTGTTACCATTCGTTTTGGTATTATTGTAATATTATTTTTTTCATTTTCAACAAGAGAAACTTGTCGTTTCATATTTGTACGTAAATCAATTTGACTATCAACTGTTGTTGTTGATGGTTCAATTTTCTTTTTAATTATTGTAAATGGATTTACAAGTTTATTAGCTAAATTTGTCATTTTTTGACTTATGAATGATGTTTGTCGTTGAAATAATGATGTTGATGAATCAAGTCGTTTAAGACGATCAGTACCAAGATTAACTTTTTTTTGTAATGATATTGTATCTATTATTACAAAAAAAACAAAACAAAACAAAATTAATATTTCAAAAATATTAAATTTGAAAAATGAACCAGAAAGAGATTTTATTGTTCGCATTCCATGAATTGATGTCGATGGAGGTTTTTTTAATATACTTTGATCATCAAATGGTGATGATAATGTAAATTTAGTTTGAATTTTTCCATTATTATCAACAGTAATAATTTTTTCTTCGGGTTTTCTTAGATGACTAAAATTACGTTTTCGTATATCACTTGTTGATTCAACAATTGAAGCTGGACCTAGAAGAAATTCTTGATAAATTAAAAAATAAATTCTATAGTCTACTAACGATTATTAAATGAAATTCGAGAAAGCATTGCTGGTGATAAATTACATGTTGATTTAGATAATATATTTGAATTCAATCGTGTAGTTTGATTATTATCAATTTCATTATCAATAATACGATTAACAACTAAAATATTAAATGAAATTCTTTTTTTTTTTTTTTCAAATTTTTTTTTTGTTTCATTTACTAGCTGATCGTCGTTTTAATGTTAATGATTCATTTGTCTAAAGAAAATTTATTATAGAAATAATTTAGATTTTATTTATAATTTACTTTATTATCTAAAAGACGAGCTTGTTTAATCAAACGAATACGATCAGTTTGATTAGTAATACCTAATTTATTTAATTCATTATCATCACTTGCTAAAAGTTCTTCGATTGTTGAAAAACGATCAGCTAATATCATACTATATTTTAATATAATACTATTATTAACTGAGAGTTTCGAGTCACGTACAAATTTCAGCCAAAATGACATATCTATATCAATCAAAACAAAATCAATTATCTTATGTAGAAAAATTAATGAATATCTACCTGATGTCAATCGATCGGTCATTTTTTTAATACTTGATTAACAAAAAAAAAAGAAAAATTCAAGACCAAGACAAATTAAGAAAAAAGAATAACTAAAACTATATGAAACAATGAAAATCAATTAGCCAATAATGATTTATGATAGAGGGCACTATACAACGGTGAGAAAATACATGGCAAGGTCGAAGAAGAACATGTTGTAATATTCGAAAGAAAAGAAATATAGTCAAGTCATTCAGATTTTATGAAACACGATCCTAACGAATTGTTTAAATCTCACCGCAGAAGGACGTTATATCGATTGTTGAAATGAGATGAATATCTAAGTTTCTATTAGAAATGTCTGCTGCGGTACCTTTTTTTAAAAATGACCGCGACGCAGAGGATATTTTAAGAATACCATCGCAGCAGTGGCGCTGAGTCTTACCTCTTCTAGGATCGTGGCAGATGTCTATAGAATCAATATTAAAGCTCTGAAATTGAAATTTATTCTAGACTCATTTGCTCTCGTCGTTCGACATGATCCCCGCACAACGAATAATTACATCTATCGATCGTAGTAAACGTATATATAGGGTATTCTAAAAGTCCGATCGAAGAGTAAATTCGTGTAATTCCACTATTTATCAAGCTTAATCAATTAATTTTTTTTCAAATTATCGGTATAAGTGTGAAGTTTTTATTGGTACGGACAAACTTCACAAGCACTGTTCAAAATTATTACTTTCGACTGAAATACTAAAACATACTACACAGTGTTTCTGTTTTGATACTTCCATATTTTACGTTTTTTTGTGACATTCGGATCGGGCAGATGTTGCACAATCGATTCTATGCATTTGTTGTGATGTGTCACTAAAAATAGAAGCTTAATAATGTCAAGTTCGATGATGCCGAAGCTTTTAAGATCGATTCACCTTTTCCAGTTGATCAATCATCGTTTGAAAGCATAAAGTTGTCATACGAGTTCTGTGATCACCAGACTTGCCATTATTAGGCTTCTATTTTCAGTGACACATCACAACAAATGCATAGAATCGATAGCGCAACATCTGCCCAATCTAAATGTTACAAAAAAACGTAAAATATGGAAGTATCAAAACAGAAACACTGTGTAATATGTTTTTTGAAATTGAAAAACGATTAGTGTTTTCGTATTTCAGTCGAAAATAATAATTCTGAACGGTGTTTATGAAGTTTGTCCATACCAATAAAAACTTCATACTTATACCTATCATTTGAAAAAAAAATTAGTTGATTAAGCTTGATACATAGTGGAATTATACGAATTTACTTTTCGACCGGACTTTTGGAACACCCTATATGGCGTGATGGCTGTATAACCCATTTAGCGCTAAAATGCTATTTTCATATATAACACTCAACCCAATCTAAATAAGAATATGATATTCGTAATCAGCGCGCAAAATCGTATATAAATGACATACTTTTGATGACATTTGAAGAAAAAAGTTCTTTTCGAATTCTGCGGGTAGCCCAGGGGGTCAAAACATTACTTTGATATTTTTCAAAACAAATTCGTAGGAAATATTTCTAGTGGTACCCAGACACCTTTCAGATAGATAAAAGTCAAAAATATCCTGGGCAAAAAATGGCCCAATTGCAGCATGTCTTTTAACTAAACATTGTTGTGACTCGTCAAAATTTTTTATCTATGACATACAAACGTGATAGAAGCAATAAGATTTGAGTATATATACAACGAACATTTTTCTTGTTCTTTGCATTTATCTTAATATTTAGATTTTATTTTTACAATGAGTGAATCGTATCCTCAACCACCAGCTTATGATGAAATCAACCGAACTTTTATACCTGAAAGTTCTGATCCGAATTGGTATGTATAAAGTTTCTTCCCGAAAAATATATTTATTTTCTATATTTTAATATAGGCAACCATGGTATAGAAAATTTATTGCATTAAAATTTACTGAACAAGAAGCAAATGAATATACAAGATTATTTGTAATAAATGAAATTGTAATTAGTATGATTCCTGAACTTACTGATGCTATTCTTCAATCAATAGGAATCGATAAAGCTGGACAGTAAGGCCTATTATAAAAAAAAAAGAAAACAATATTTATTTTATTTTTTTATTTAGTCGTATTCGAATTCTACGTCTTCAAAACAAAGGTATAATTTCAACATCAGCACGTTCAGTTAAAGTTATTCCTCAAGTTGTTAATGTAAATGAAATTAATATTCATTTATATTTTATTAAATTAAATATTTTTAGACTCCACGATGTGCTTGGCATCGAAATATAGTAGCTAATGAAAAATGTTCTAGATGTAAACGACTTGTATGTTTAAATTGTCGTCGAGAAAAAATAAGTGACAATAGTCGACGATATTATTGTCAAGAATGTTATGATGAATGTACAATTCTTTGAAGAATATAATTAATTTCTTTTTTTGCTTTAATTTCATTTTAAATAAAAAGATAAAAACAATACATATAAGACTACTTCAATCCTGAAAGAGCTAAGAACTACTCTGCAAAGATCTTATCTATTGTGCAACAAGTAAGATACAATTCAATAGCGACTTATATGTACGAAAAGACTTCTTAAATCTATCTAGTGTCGCAATATTACCAAACTTTCTAATATTTCATAAGACACTAATCAAAAAAAGGTAGTCGTATCTTAAGATTACGTTATACGGTCGGAGACATGTCTTTCAAAAAAACATAGACGGAATTGAGCCTCCTCAAATCTAAGAATAGAGTCCTGCAGGTTACGAAACTTTACAGGGCAGGTTGCAGGATACCAATGTCGTAGCCTGTGATTAATTTTACTCATTCAATATTGTCGACATCTTTTCTAAAATTGCATATTAAGAAAAATAGATTTAATAAAGTTAAACTACTCGTCGATGAGAAAAAACTAATTACGATCGCTTGCAGCTAATTCCATTTATTCGATATTTTTGTATTAGAAATTTTTGAAAAACTTCGTATGGTTTTTTTATCTGTTTTATGTTTGAAGTATTTTGATTTTTAAAACTGATGTGAAATTTTCTATGTTTCAAAAAAATTCAGGGCAAGTCAGATAGGGTACGCAAAAAAATTCTACAGAGCAGAGCAGAGCCAGGTTACAAAATTTTTACAGGGCAGATTGCAGAAACTTCGTAACCTGCAGCCCTCTATCTAAGAGCTCCGTCGCTTATGGCTTTGTTCATATTCGGTTCGCAATTACGATATATTACTTAAAGTTATGTCGACGATTCTCGTTCGATTGAATTAATTACAAAAAAAATTAGTTTCGATAGTTGATCGTTTTCTAAAATGCACTACGAATATAACTTGAGCCTATAAGATGACTGCTAATAATAAGTGGAAAATGTAACATAGACGATTTTGTTTTAAGCAAGAATCGTTTCTACTGAATGATTTCATATAAAAGTCATGATCGATTAATTTGAAAGTATTGACTAGAGCAGCACATTTATCTATAATTATAATAGAATGCCGAGAAAATATTATCTCGACATTCGAAGAGACTTTTTATTGTAGCAGATTATCAAAAGTCGAAATCAAACAATAGCACTTCTATCTTGTAAAATCTTTCTCAAAAATTATTAGTATGAAACATTTTGATCTCTTGTACTATCGAAGAATTTCGTATAACTACGAAAACTTTGTCACATTTGAAGCAATTGTCAGTTAAACATATTAGTAGAAGATAGATTTCTGTCTCTTTATATCCTTCAAAGAAATCAAAATCTAACAGAAAATAATTCTGCGCACGCAGGATCTTTTTATATCAGAAGAATTTCATTTTGATCGAAGTTAAAAAACTCCATTCTTTTATAAAAATCTCTTTGATAATATGTTGATTAGCTGACTTTGGCTACTTTATCCAAGAGAGACACAAGATTATACTGAGAAAAATGTCTTTCGTAGAACTCAAAAGCTTGTCAAAAAAATATTGGAGAGGGATCTAAGCCCTATCACGTTCAATTTTCTGGTGATGCCACTACTTAATTCGCCCAATTTTACTTTGGGCGATATCCATTTTGTCTCGTCTCTGATTTCAGCTATCTATCGGCATCAATGATTAGAATACTCGCTGCTACGAGGAAACGAGTCGAACTGATGCCTGCTGTTTAAGCTCTTATATTGAATGTACACGCATGCCTTCGTGACAATAGCAAAAGCCTAAAGAGTTCGTCCCCATGGGCCTTTGGAGAGCCGAGTTATGACCGTTGTATTGAATTTTTGACTTAGCTTTAGGTACTTATTGAAAAATCAAAAAGTAGAATTTCGACGTGGATTTTTATCTATAGATAGATCAAATGATCTGAAGGATATACTAAAAGCTTCAATCGAAAAAAATGTTCTTTTGGGCTGAAAGTTTCATGATAGGTCATTAGACCTACCTATAGGCTAAATTTCAGGTTGAAACCCTGTTATTTAATTTTCTAGTGCATACTTAAAAATAGGACAAAAGCTCAGTGTAGAACGGTCATAACTCGGCTCATGGACTCAAACTCTTGTCAGTCTTACTAAAGCGTCCTTGTAAGCCCAATATAAGCTCAAAGGATGGGTATTAATTCCAGTAGTTTTTTTTTCCTTTCGTTTGTTGTCTATGCAAAAGAACTTTTTTCTTTAAAACAAGAGTTGAGAAAGTATGATTTTGGAAATTGAGATTACTTATCATGATAAATAATACATATAAATCATTAAAAATCTTTACAATTAGTTCATCATGTTTTTGTTTTTTTTGTTAAAAATCATAGAAATTTTAATTCAAATCTTATCTTTTTTTTTTTTTAACAAATTCACAGAAGATATTCATCTTCTATTCTTCTTTTTATTCTGTTCTTTCGTTGAATATTTTGTTGTTCGTCAACATCAAAATGAAGACAAGAAAAAAAAAACAACGAATTTTTTGTTTTTATAATAAATGGTTATATTTATCATTTATGATGCTTTTGTTGTTGTTGTTGTTGCTGCAGTAGTTTTGCCTGAACGTTTGCCGGTAGTAGCTGTTGTTGGAGTAGTTAAAGCTAATCGTTGACCACGAAGTAATGCAGAAGCTCGACGAAGTGCAGCCTTAAAATAATTTCATTAATATAAATATGAATTTATTTAAATTAAACTAACCATTTTAAGATCTTTACGATAACGTTGTTTACGAATTGTTCGTCTTATACTAGTTAATGTACGACGTGAATCCTTGGTAAGTTCAACCTTACGAAAACGTTTGGTTGGTTTTCTTATATCTAAAAATAATAAATTATTTAAAACAAAAACAAAAAAAAACAAAGTTAAATTCATACTTTTGGTACTGCCTGTTGTAAAAACAACACCTTTACCCTTTGTAGCATTTTCAACACCAACTACTTTTGGATGAACAAGACCATTAAGACGAAAACTATTACGATTTTTTAAATTATTTGGTTCCTTGAATTATTTTAATAGAAATTAAAAAAAAAAAGGAAAGAAATAAGATATTTAATTACGAACTTTTGTAAGTGTACCCAATTTTTGTTTATGTAAAAATGATGAATTATTACGAATAATCATCCATTGAACATGCGATGAAGCTTGATCAAATCCTAGAAATTTGTTATAATCGAAATAAATAATTTCGAATAAAAAAAAAGAAAAAAACTTACGTCCACGAGCCATTATTTGGGCGACGAATTACAAAAACAATGTAATCTAAAAACAAAATAAAACTTAGAAAATAATTTACTAAACTTCTTGTTCTATTAAAGAAAATAAATAAAACAAAATACATATAATCAATAACCTTTCTTCTGTCTTATTCATTATTGGTTAACATTCTTAACCATCCTGAGATGTATATTTGCGTACGTCGTTCTCTTCTTGATGCACTAGTGTGTCAATGTTAATTTTTCAAAAGACGTCGCCAGCATCGGACTGAATCATTATTACAAATCTTTGACGTCGTAATACGCAGAAAAATAAATACATTTATTGTAAGTATATTTTCGTTTTGTTCACAATAATCATTAGATAAAACTAATATTAAAGCTATTGAAGAAAATTAATAAAGATTATCAACGAGTTATTTAGAAGAAATTTAAAATAGTGAAAGTCTTTATATTTTACTATGAAATATCAGATTTATAATTTTATTTTGAAAATAAGAAGATTAATAGCTTAATAAAATCCTCGCCGAGATTTCTCTAGAACGGATAGATTTCAATAAATTGAATAAAAGTTGTTCTAGACTCAAAATTCCCAAATGCTTTCTTCGAGGAGGTCAAGAGCCAAAACTGACTTGAAGTTTTCTCTTCGTAAACATCCATACTACGTTTTTTGGGCTGAGATTGATCTTTCAAAGATAAAACTTGTCTGGTGTAATGTAGGACAACATTCAGAGTGAAAGTCAACATTTAATTATTCACCCGTATAAATGTAGTACGGAGTTAGAGACATCATTCGACTCTAAATAGATTACTTTTCCAGAGTTATTGAATTAAGGAAATTCTTTTCTTTTACTTAACGTGAGCGTTTACATATTTCTCTCATCAAAGAAAAAGAAAGTAAGATTTTTGAAAAACCTTAAAATTACCCATGAGATTTAGTCTTAGGTATCTTCAAAAAAAAAAACCATTTTTCAGCTACATCGGATAAATTTTGACGAAGGTCATAATCTATCAGGATGCGTTCCTATGAAAAATTGACTTCAAAATTTCTTTCTTCGAACATATATCTCCTTATTTTTAGTGTTCTATCTGTCGCAAATAACAAATAAAAATGATTTTTGGACAAATATTATTAGGTACAACAGGTTTAATTGTATCACTCTATGCATATTATGTTAAACAACAACTTAGAAAAAATCCAAAATATAAAGCTCTATGTGATTTAGGACCAAATACAAGTTGTACTAAAGCATTATCGAGCAGGTTAGAAAAAAGTTCAAATGTATTTTTTGTTTTATTTGTATTAATCAGATTTTTGTACTAAATAGATATGGTAATGGATTTGGACTTGCAAGTTCATTATTTGGTGAAAATAGTATGATGAATGCATCAAATATTAATTTAGGTATTGGATTTTATATTGCACAAATTATTTTCGGTAAGAAATCAGTATTCTTTTTTTTTTTTTTTGATCGTAAGAAACTACTTTTTTTTTTTGTTTTGAAGGTTTAATAACTACACCATTATTTAATAAATTAGCTTTATTTTCATCAATATTATCTTGTATTGGTTCAATCTATTTAGCTTATATTCTAGCTTTTATTCTTAAAGATTTTTGTCTTATTTGTGTAACAACTTATCTAATTAATTTTGGTCTTCTTTGGTCAAATATTCGAACAGTTTATTTAAAATAGAAATAAATGAAAACAATTTTATTATTATTATTATTATTATAATCAAGCATTAAAACAAAATCTTATTTACAATAACTTATTATTAAACCTGCATATTTATTTTAGTCAGATTAATCCTGAAAAACAAAATTTTTTTTTAATGTTTCTATCAGCGAATTTATATTATATAAACATGCATTTTATTTTAAATAAATGAATTTTATAAAATTTCAATACAAAACTAAACTAAATTGAATTATCAATTAAGATGTCAATCGTGCAATTCTTATGGGATTAAAATACAAAACATGATATAACTACTCTTGTTAGTCATACCAAGATTATTTTTATTCTATCTATATTTACAGACACATTTCTTCAACATTCTCCACCAGAAATGTAATAAGAGAGTAGTTCTATTTATTACAACAAGACATTCTTCATTAACGTCTGTCACAGTCTGCGAGTGGTTCAAATTTCTGTTCTTTACACTTCGAAACTTGTTTCTTAATTAATGTTTTTAATAATCAAAACAATGTAGATTATGAAGAACAATCATTACAATAGTAAGTTTGTCATGAATAAGATTTAATTAAGAAAATATTGATATTATCATATGTATAATTAGTTTTGTGAAACATGATTTAAAAGAAATGTTGGATTGATCGTTCGATGACGTAACTAGAAGATTGTGAGTATGATTACATTTTTCTTTCTTCTGATGATAGCTCACTCTTAGGTAAAACTATTTTCTTCCTACATACCGTGACAAACATTATTGATATACAATCACTAAGTAGCATATCAATAACATCTTCTTATTATATAAGCATTACTTTCTTATTGAAATTTGTTTCACAATAGAAAGAGTAAAATAATCTTCTTATGATTAGCAAAAAAAAAACGTAGCTACATCATGTTTTACATGTTAATCCTATAAGAATTACACGAATAGCTTTCTTTTTTTGTTGCTGCATAATTTAGAAGATATTTGATTGAAGAAAATTTATGGTACTTCGTAGATTACATGATTATTATCCAATGCATAGTTAGACCAAAAAAAAAAGAAATTCGAGAAGTATAAGAGTAATATTTTGTATTCAACTACTATTGGAATAATCTATAGAAGTTTATGTGACATATGGCTTCATGCTAAATTGATTAATGCTGATAAATAATCATCAGAATGTGTTTTTTTCCCTTCAGTATGCCCTATCATGTTCTAATAAACAGGAAGAATAGTTATGTCATTATCGTCGGTGACACTGATGTTTAGGAATTTACGTCAGCAATCTGATTGTACCTGTGTCTATATTGACATGTCCTTAGATGGAGGTCATAGGAAAGAAGAATAAGATGCATATATCATCAATATTAATACTAAACGCGGTACTATTTAGAGAAGTCACGTACAATAGTAAAATAGAGAAAAGAAGACAAAAGAGCACAATGACTATTTAACGTCGTATTTTTTAATGCTTATATTTAGTTATCATTAAGATTTACTGACGACAGCATTACTCCCACGGTAATTCATTGTCTGAGCTTATATCGAGTGCACGACGATGTTTCGGTAAGACTAGAAAAAACTCAAAAGGGTTTGGCGCGCGAATTATGATTGTTTTTGATTCATCTTAAGTATTTACTGGAAAAATAAAATGATAGAATTTCAGATCAAAATCTCATTATTTAGTTTTTCATTAAATACCTAAAAATGGTCATAATTCGATCTCAAAAACCCATAGGAACAAACCATTTTAGATCTTTTCTAAGTCTTACCAAGATCTCGTTGTAGACATAACATAAAATCATACGGTAGTTTACAGTTTGGATAACCCTCTGATTTCTTGAAATTGATCGAATTCATGTGATTTTTTTTCTGATTTTCAATTAATCGAGGAAAACATTTATTTAAACAATCGGTTGATAAGATCTTCATGACTGATCTTTGTTAATCTTTCACACCAATGAAAACTAAAATCACAAATGCAAATAACAAAAACGATCAGATCTCGTACAATCTTTTAAGAATCAGACGAAAACATATGAGAATTTGTAATCTCTGTAAAAACTTATATCAAATCTTAGTATACATTTCACTCATTCATATATAACAGCTCAATGAAAGCAAAAATAAAAAAATTCATTATACTATTATTCACAATAAAAAAAACCTTGTAAAAAATTCTGCCTACAACATAGAAAACAAATCTCATTTGATAGTTCAATACTGTTTTAATTACCAATAAAAATTTCATGTCAAAATGTTTTAGTTTGCGTGATTTATGAAGTACAGACAATAGATGCTTCTCCGTGCGTCAAGACTACACCGAATTGAAGTACCCTATCTGTAACACAATATAAAAATATGAATCTTTATTTGTTAATAAGAAAACGGAAATTAACACATTTCAATAATGAAAGCGGGACATCTTGTGACTACTGTAGGATAAGGACGAATAGTTTTTTGAAATTTATAAAATAATGCATCATGTTGATCGTTCGACGTATGTTCATTTCCAAAAAAACTACCTATTTAAATATTAAAATTTCATTTAAAAAAAGAAAAAACCATTTTCAAAGTGCATTATTTATTACGCATCCATTTTGAAGTGTTCAATCATAAAAAAAAACAAAAATAAGAATATAACTTAATGATTTACTATTTCGAATTCAAACATTGATTTTTTTTTGGTTTTTTTTTAATTAATTATTTAAAATGATGATCTAAAAATTGTATTCTACAATAAATAAATATTTGACAATTATTTCCGTCCTCTATCATATATTATGCAGTACGTATTATTTTGCCTAAAGGTCAAAAAAACGTCATAGTCACATTATATAATTTTCTACAGTAGGGAGGTAAATAAAGAAAAAGAAGAGAGGAAGTCAAAGGACAGAAAAATTATTTTTCTTTTTTCTCTCCCGACCTCGAGTCAGAAATAGCCACCTTCGATGCAAAACTATGGTGATAAATTTTATATTTATATATTGACCAAAAAAAAAGTCACGATATTTATAGCATATAAAATATACAATTGTAATATGTAAGTCAAATTTTTTTTTTGTTGTTGTTGTTTTCTTCATTCTCATTTAACTTATGGTAATGACATATGAAACAAGTACTTCTACATATGATTTTTGCTGAGTACATGAAATGATTCAAACTACTATTTCAAAAGAAAAGCGAAATTTTTTTGTTTTTCATATTTGAATTATTGTCCGTTTCAAAATATAATGTTCTCCACTGTTTTTTGAATAACTCGAGAACGTAAGCAGCTAAAGACCTGCGGTTTTCAACAATCGAAAGAGAAGATCAGGGGACGTCTGTTTCTCCAGTAATGTATAAGAGGAAATCCTTTTTAAAGTAATTATTTTCGAAAAAAACATGTAAAAGAAGACATGAAAATGACCTATGATATAGATGAAATTTTGTTTTTGACCTTGGATTTAGATAGAGGGATTTCAAATCTATAGTTCAAGATACAATATAAATTAATTCTCTTATTACATTCTAACATTGAACAAATTGAATCATGTGTTTAGATGCGCAAATAATAGGATTTTTTACCAAGTTTTCTCACTTTTTATCGTAATAGTGTGACATTTCGATGGAAATGTAACGAAAAGTAAGAAAACGCATTCTATCTTGAACTATAGATTTGAAATCCCTCTATCTAAATCAAAGGTCGAAATCAAAATTTCATCTATATCACAGGTAATTTTCATACCTTCTTTTACGTCTTTTTTTTCGAAAATAATTAGTTTTAAAAGGATTTTTCTCTTATATATTATTGAAGAAAAAAACGTCCCCCTATCTTCTCTTTCAATTGGTGAAAACCACAGGTCTCTAGCCGGGTTGCGTTCTGGAGTTATTCAAAAAACAATGGAGGACATTTTATTTTGAAATGGACAATAGAAAAATAATTGCCCTGACTTTTATTATTATTCATTGAAATTTGATAGTTTTCATTGGTAAAAAAAAACTAAATAATAAATTATTAAATAATTTTATTTAGAATTAAAATACGTAAATGTCAAATCCTTCATCCCCATCTAACGAACCGGAACCAACAACAAAAACAAATAGTCAATGTCAAGTATGTGAAGATGATGCATCAATCATTAATTATGGAGCATTAACTTGTTTATCATGTCGAACATTTTTTCGTCGAAATGGTTTTCATCCTCAAGTAAATTTTTAAAAAAATAAATAATTATATAGAAAAAGAAAAACAATTTTTTAATTTAGGAAGTTGCTTCATGTCGATTTGATGGTCATTGTAATATTACAAAATCAACAAGAAAACTTTGTACAACATGTCGTTTGAATAAATGTCTTGCCGTTGGCATGAGTTCTGATCTAATACGAAAAGAAGATCTAAGTGGAAAAAAACGTAAATCTTCTGGATCATCTAGTCAAGAACATGTGGAACATCAAATAGTAATGGTACGTACGAGTTAAAAATTACTATTAAGTATCTCTACAAAATAAATAGAACGTACGATTAGTACTTATGAACAAAATTATTTAAATAAAAAACGCCACATACAGAAGATCATTATGATAGAGTTCCGTTAGCTGATAAGGGGAGGGAGTCAGCCCAGTAGATTAATCACTTTAAGTAGATCCTTATGAGTTATGAAGAACCTTAGGAAGAGTTTGGATCCTTAGCTTATTGCTGTTTTTTAACTCAACACCGTGTTCTCTCTTTCGACTTAAAACTTTGCATAGAAGTAGATTTTAATGAGAATAATTTATTGTGAAAATTTCAGATGGTTTCAGTGTCGTTCTTCTAAGATATGGCTATGATAATGAGAGTGTCTTTTATATCGTTCATACACACCGACAGATTCAATGTTCTTATTTCAGAGTAGGATCTACATGACGTACATAGTCTCAATGTATTAATGATTAATAAGTTTGAAAACTTCCATTCTGAGTAAAACATTTTTGAACGAAGTAATATTTTGATATGGAAAATTTCAGTAGCAAATTAGCTTCCTAGACAGTCCTTATTGAATACTGATTATTGTTCTCAAATTTCAGCATCTTGGTATAAACAAAGGAAGGAAGTCTATAATTGATGAAATCAACTCCCTACCGGAATATGATTTTTCTCATATCAATTTCTTACTCAGGATGTTTGAAAATGATCTCTGGGTGGAATTGTGTTGTAGACTAGTATTTATATGATTCGATAGTACTATCGAATCATATGAAAAGTACCCTGGTCGTTCATGAGACGGATAGATTAAAAATACTGATTTTTATCAACAATCAGATTCAATGTACATGTGACGATCATTGGATTATTTCAATCGACCTATGGATAGCACAAATAAGTGGATTTTTGACGAAGCTATTTTCAACAGTTACTGACCGTCCTTCTTTTATTCAAATACTCATCATTATTCTGTTAGAGTAACTTCTATTAAAATTTTCTAGTGTTCTAACTTAAAAATCTTAGTTACAAACAATAGGATCTTAAATCTTCGAAACTTACAGTATCATATAACATCCACTGATTTCATCGGAAAATTCTAATATAATTAATTTGATTTAAAAAATCAAACATAATGTGATTTTTGAAAAATCTACACAAAACTGATATTCTTAGTTTGTTACGTTCGAGAGTTATAAAACTTTTCCTATAACTTCTGATTTCAGTCAATAAGATCTGTGAACACCAAAAAAATAGCAACTAGTCAGAAGTAATTCATTATACTGAGACAAATGATGATATTTGTTATTAGATTCGAAATGATCTCACTCTATTATCTCGATATTTCTGAAATTATTATCATTCGGACTCAGTACAATGACTAACTCGGGTATTCATAGGTTAATTGGCTAAATCGAGCGTCTCATAACTCTGATATACTTCAATGATCTTCAGTCTTGTCTCTTGTATACTGAAAATTTCATAACATATTAATTATAAATAATTTTTGTATTTTATTTTATAAATATAGACTATACCACAAGCATCAATATTAGATCAACTATCGGATATTTCACGTTCATCTTTAAATAATTCTGAATTGAATTTAATTTCTAATGTTATACATGCTTTTGATACATTTAGTCCAATAAATGAAATTCGACATACTATTGAAGTAATAAATACAACAGCATCTAGTCAACAATTTGATTTAACACAATCACTTCAAATGATATCATTATTTTCAAATTCTATACAATTATTTATTAGTTCAACACCTGATTTTAAAGTTTTAACAACATCAGAACAATGGTCATTATTTCAACGTAATATGCTTGGTCTTTTATCTATTGGTGGAATTTATTTTATGCGTGAATCAGGTATATTTGATAAACCTGAAAATGAAATGGCTATTTTACCATTATATGGTAATGATGTTGTTCAACAAGTAAAAATTATTAGTACACAATTTAATTTTGATCCAACACTTATTAAACTTATGCTTATTGCAATTGCATTTTCTTCAAATTGTTTTACAAAACAAAATCGTAAATCTATTGATAAAGATAGTTTATTATTAGGTACATATCGTTTATTTGGAAGTCAAAATGTTTATGTTGAACTTATATGGAAATATTTAATTTATCGATATAATTATGATGAATCAGTTAAACATATTTCTACATTTATTAAACAACTTCTTGATGTACTTAAATTATCAATTGAAATTTATGAAAATAATCAAATATTTCAAAAATTTATTGATGATAATGATGAACAGATTGAACAATCTCCAATAATTAAAGATAAAACAATTGTTCCATTATGGGGAAAAAAATGATCTATTATTATTTGTGCTATGTAAATCGATTTTCTTGATGCTTTCTCTTTAATTTTCATGTCAGATAACAAAAAAATTGTATTTTAAAATAACAAAAAATTGTATTTTAAAATAACAAAAAATTGTATTTTAAAGTAATCAAAAGAATAAATTTGCAAGGAAAACTAAGGAAATGACACAAATTTAATTTGACAACATTTTTTTTTTGTGGATCGTTTCGATTCGCCAAATCGACATCGAAGTAAAGTGTTGATATGAAGTATAAGTAATTGGATACATTGTGCATACGATAGACCCTAGTCGCGCTCGAGGAGAACGTAATGTGGACTAGTCACTCAATACAACAAAAATCGGAAATACGGTCTAGGTTTGGACCCGATGGATTCTTACTCTGGCTTGGTATATACCAACAAATCAAATGGCGGTATTGCGGATTTGAGATTTTTCGGCGACAGGTAGATCTACATGTCAGTAAAATGTTCTGAAAATTTCAGCTCAAAAGAATGTTTCTTTTCGAAGATATTAAAATCTCAAACAATAGAAAATTCTAGCATCTTTCATGATTTATGAGTGATTTTTTGAAGAGTTTAACATCTTCGAAAGGAAATATTCTTTTAAGCTAAAATCTTCAGGACATTCTACTGATAAATAGACCTGTCTGTGAATAAAATCTCAGGTCGAAATATCACCATTCGATTTATTAATATATACCAAGCTAGTGACTAAAATTCTAGTAAAATACTTTTCACTCTGGACAGAAGGTTTAAAGAAATTTATCCTTTTCACGTTTTTCATATCTCATTGAAGTCCGAGATAGACATCTATTATTCTTTCCATTTGTGAATAGCACTTCATTAAGCAAAAATCTTCACACATTCAACTTAATGGGTCCCATTACATATTAATTAAAAAGAGTACTTAGCAGAAGGGTTATATGTCATATGTCATCTGCTATGTCTTCGCTATTATTAGAATCATTAATTACATAGAATGATGCTTTGTGTTAAAATTTGACGTCTGAATATAATTCTATTTTATTCTTGACTTATTAATCTACGTCATCATCAGTATTTTCCTTCTTGGAATTTGACAATTCAAATTTGATCTAAGCAAAATCATTGTCACTGTTTTCTACATCAGTTTCATCAATCGACATATAATTCATAGAAAAATTTATTTGTAAAGCAACGTAAATATTTCAGACACATAGGAGAAAAAACAAAGTTGGAATTTCATCTCTTCTATCTCATTCCAACTGCGCAATATATACCAGAGAAAGAAAAACAACAAAATTGATAAATTATAGAGTTCGTTGAGAAAGGAAACTATTGCATGTATTTATAACCAAATACAAAAAAAGAAAATAACATGTCAACATAGAATGAAAAGATCAACGAGTATCTGTAAAATCGAATGTATTAATATATTTTTCTCGTTTAAAATAATATATTATTTATATAGATTTTAAAAAATATAGAAAAACAAATTCATCTTCCTACAGACGTAACAGCAAGATTGACGCTCACGGTAGGATTATTCCTTGTTTGGAAAGTATTTGATATTGTTCGTTGAAATGACTTTCACAGAAACTTTATCTGTATCATTTTTTGACTAGTAAATTAACTAAACTGAAGTACGAAGATAAGGAAAAAATATATAATAAGCTACTATCCTGTTTATAATGACAAAGCTCGTTAGGTTCGTTGTGTGGTGCACTAGTCTGTTAATCATACTTCTAGTATTATGATTTGTAACTTATTTGATTTTTATATGTGTTATTAAGAATCTTAGATATCGATAAGCTGAAAATTGTTAAGGCCCCCGCTCAAAAAAAGTCAATTTTCGTCAAAAATTTCGAAATTGAGATAAATGCATGGGAAGATAGCCTGTCTTCAGATATTCCAAAAACGACATTAGTTTTTCTTTGGCATCTCTTTTTTGGTCAAGATTTTCGATGATTTTCATTGACCTCTTCTTGAAAAATATGCTTATTTTTAAAAAAACGAAAAATGTTTTTCGTTTTTTCTCGATTTATGATTTTGGGACAAAGAATTCTCAGTCCCGACTCGGGCAATATATTTAAATTTTTTTTTTGTTTGAAAGAGCGTGTCGAGATGCAAGTCACCACAGAGTCGTTTTTTGAGTCATTGGACTTGTGATCTCCTTTCTCCGTTAAAAAAGTAAGAATCTTAAAAAAAAGAACTCTGTGGTGCTCTACATCCTGATATGCTCTTTCTAACAAAAAGAAAATTTAAATATGTTATCAGAGTCTGGACCGAGAAATCCTTGTACCAAAATGAGCAATTTTTGACCCTCGTTTGGTTCATATCTCTGTCAAACATCAGGGTATTGAGCTGAAAATTTTACCACAGCCTCCCCACATCAGCTCCAACATATGCTCCAAATTGCAGCTCATTTGAACGTATCTGGACTGAGATCGATTTTCGAGTGGGGGGGGGGGGGGGAGCTTAAATTACAATAGAATAGAAAAAAGTTTTTTCAACTTGTCGATTTTTCTTTATATGTTCGTTGACGGTTATGAATAATAAAATATACAGTAAAATGAATAGTTTATTTAAAATTAAATACAATGTAGAATTTTCGATTATTTTATCATTAGTACATATAAATAGATCTTCAGTTAATAAGAATAAATCAACATCTAGTAAACTATATTTAAAGATAGGTAATCAAAAAACGAACATCACAAAAACTTAAGCCTCAAAACATAGATCATAACAATTATGAATTATTGAGTTGTTCTCATAAATTCAGACCTTATTCAAAACAAAAATCTCAATAAATCATATACATCCAAACACAATAATGCATGAAAACAATTATCCGATTCAATATAAAAGGTGGATTGCTATTTGTTGTTTTTTGAATAACTTTTGATAGAAACATCATAGAGATCTACAGTTTTCATTGTTCAAGAGATAAGATCCGAGAATATCGATGTATATTCCAATTTGATTAGTCAGCAATTGACAAATCAGACGAGTTTTTTTCGTGAAGATTTTCGAAAACGATATTCTGAAATGATTTTTCTTTCAATCTACATCAAGCCGAGATTCTTAACTTATTCTATCATAAGACTTTTCCCGAGATCAGCAATTTCAGCCAATTGATCTGTGATCATCCGAAAAAACAGCGCTAAGTAGAGATAATCCACCATGATGAGTCGAATGGTGATATTTATTTTTAGACTCAAACTAATCTAACATTGTTATCTCAATAATTCGGAAATGTCGATTCCTTCGTTATACGGAGACTGATTGTGAAATTTTTGAAATATTAATATAATAGAGTCAAATCAGTTTGAATCTAAAAACAAATATCATTATTCGACACAGCACGATGAATCATTCCTACCTAACTGCTTTTCTGAGTGATCATAAGTCAATTGACTGAAGTCGGATGTTTGAAGAAAAGTTTTATAACTCTCGAGCAGAATAAGCTTAGAGTGTCGGCTTGACGTAGATCGAAAGAGAAGAATTTTTTCTATAGATTAATCTTATTAAAACTCTAAATTGAAAGAAGAATAGCTTTAAATTAATCCCTTTCAAAAAACTTCATCAAGAACTTATCTGACTGGTCAACTATTGACCAATCAAATTGCAATAGATTTTGAGGTTCCCAGGTCTTCTCTATTGAATGATGAAAACTGCAAGTGTCTATGACATTCCTATCAAAAGTTATTCAACTCACCTTCTGTTATGAATCAAGCAATAGCACTTCGCATGAGTCATGACCGTAACCGTGACGAATATTTTTGTAAAAATCGTGACTAAAATTTGGTCACGGATAGGCACTAAAATGCTCACACACATTCTGTGTTTGTATTTTTCTCCAACACAAATAATTTCATATTCTAAACTCTAATTGAAATAATTTATTCATTTTTTTTCTAAAACCAAAAACAACATGAAAGTAGTCACATGACTTAAGCGATTTGATCACCGTTTACATTTTAGTTTAAGTCTACTTTTCGATTACCGATATTGAATCTTATACGTTCTAATCGGCGATCTTCTCTTGTTACATTTAATTGTAGATAGATTTCGATAAGTTTATTCCAATTAGAAAAATAACATGACAAACTATTGAACATATGTCTCGTCACATCTATATTTGCTATGTTCAGTATTTTTTATATCCCAATAAAAATCATTTATTGATTCGATACTTGATAGTAGTTGAAAAAATGTTTTTTTCCTTCATATAATTTTTAAATTTTTGTACTACTTCCTTTGTATTAGGTCTTTTGAATATGTTTAATAATATAATCATATCTATTTATGGTCAATGACATCTTTCACAAACAAAACGTATGACAATTTAATTTGAATTATGAATTAGATTAATTATCAAATTCATATTTTTCATAATTGCTTTTTCTTCAAATTATTACATAGTCGATGAACATGAATATATATATATCATGATTAGGACACCTCGTGACCAGTATGACTCACGATTGTTTAAAGTAGCCACACATCTTGAATTTCTATGAACTAGTTTAGTGATATAAACAACAGAAATATGATAATTAAAATATCGAAATCGATCATTACTTTTTTTTTAAAGAAATTTTCATGAACTATGAATTCATCGTATGTAATGTAGCACAATTATACAACACGATGCATAGCATTTAAGGTGTGGGTGCTCAGGATAGTCACATGTTAATTATCATGTTTTGTTCTGTTTATAAAATCAAAACTCATATAAATATAGAGTTGGATGGGGGATCACCTTTTGTTTACATATAAACTAATTCTCGTTGAGGCTCAGAACTTATGAAACATCCTTTAATGTTAAGTAATTAACTCAAATCCTGATAGTGATTTTCATAGTCAATAATGTTTTCTATACTAAGATTTCATAGATGAATTATGATAGTAAGGCTTTCTAAAAAGAACAGACTCGATAGTTTTCAGGTTTCAGAAGGTTTTGACGAAAGCGATTTTGAAGAGAACAAAATGAGAGGTTTGCCA